CTACCCATTTGCTATATTTTCTCGTTTGTTTTACTAATTTTTGACCAATTAATAAGCATGTTTTTGTTTTAGAAATTGATATTCAAATTCCCCGCCATATTTTCATAATTTGGTGCATGCGCAGACGTTTTTCCGCGGTGTTAGTCGACATGCAATGTGAAGTGATAAAAGGGAAAAGGTAAAAGTGATAAAAGGGCAAAGAGAAAAACACTCGGCATGTCTGAAAAGAGTCAAAATTAGCATGTCTGAGAAGATTGGAAGACATCTTTGCATATAATCACTAGATAGACATTTTTAATAGGATCCTTGTTCAAAAAATTCAATAACGGTTGCGCAATTACAATTGTTCCTGTAACTCATAAAAGGGTCAAGATAGAGCCATATTGTGGAAAAGGTGGCATTTTGCACTTGTCATATCTTCTAAACGAGTACAGTGACACCGAAATCTTTTTTGTGTTTATTTTTTTGAGCATATCTTAAACTTCACCCCTGGGAAGTTTCAGCAAATTCTTATTTCCAGAACACAGACCAACCGTCTGACCGAACACCTGCGCGACAGGGCGCCGGATATGCAAAGGACCAACTGAACGACCACGCTTACCTTCCTTTTCCAAACTTTCTTTCCTATCGTAATAAATACACTCAGGGGTATCCCCGGCATTTCTTGATGGTTTTTCCGTACAATTGAACAGAGGTGCCCGCACTGTTGACAGATTATCCAAGAAGCGCGCGAAAACGTCTTTCCACGTCCTCACAAACGCACTGCATTTCTTTGTAAAATGGAGACAGGACTCTTTGCAAATTTTCTTTGGTTTAAGTACACTTGTGCTTAGATCGCAGCCTGCAAATGCATAGTAGCAGCCAGGGAAACGAAATTGGTCACTGCATTCGTGTGATGTTGAAATATTTTGCTCTTTAAAATTTACTTGGTCGTAATATTCCTGTATCTCCCACAATTGGTTATTCAAAACCTGTTGTGGCACCTTCGACACCTTGACGTATTTATCAAGTTTGAACCCGTAATGTTCACAAAATGGATTGTCCAGTTTAATTAAAGGTCGACAGTCATTCGTGTACCAATTGACAGGCTCTTCTTCCGCTGGTATACATGAACTAAAAAGAGAAGGATATTGCGTAAAACAGCTGAAAAGTACACTCTGAAAGCACTCTGGTTAAAATTTCCTGTTGCCGAGAAATAACTCTATTTCGGTTAACACAACATTCTTGGTTACATTTCCTGCTAATTTTATCTCATTTCCTAAATATTTCCAAGAAAGAAAAAAAGATAATTGTAGAATATTAGACCAAGGGAGAAATTCAGAGGAAAAATTCTATCCAATAGAAAGAATGTTACCTGTACTGTATGTATGACCTAAGAAACGCAAATAGAAGCACATCCATCTGAATAGTGCAATAGTGAATAAATGTATAGACTATAGAATGATGGCAATTAAATTTTTAGCCAATCTGAGACACCTGATTTTCCAAACTTTCCGGGGCACCATGCCCCCAGATCCCTCTAGCCGTACCTATTTTTTGGCATCTGTAAATGTACCTTATATGGCCCCTTAGGATCAGTCCCCTGATGTATCTTATCTATATTAGTTTTATGTTAAAGCGTTCGAGTGACGGTTTACTTGATTATTCGCAGAAAATTTTTTAAATGTTGTCTTGCGGTCTCAGAAAGTGAAATTTATTTTCCACCCTTCTTGACCAGTGTACGTAATTCTTATTAAAATAACCAGACTATGTTAGCTGAAAAAATAACCAGGCGCCCTGACCTTTTTTTACCGAATAATGTAAATATGTATCAGGTCGATTCTGGAATATGCTTGTGAAGTTTTTCATTCAAGTCTTCCTACATATCTGTCCGACAATTTAGAACGAGTACAAAGACGTGCAATGAGGATAATCTTTCCTGGAACGAGGTATCGAGGAAGCCTTGGAACAGGGACATTTACAGTCACTTTATGACAGACGAGAATATTCATGTATAAAGCTTTTTGAACAAATTGAACAAGATCCAAGTCATAAATTAAAGAATCTCTTACCTAGTTTAAATACGTCTTTTGACAGCCTTCGAACCGTAAGAAAGTATAAAATTCCTTTAATCAAAACAGACCGTTTTAAAAATTCTTTTATACCAATAATGAGGCAGCGAAAGTGATGTTGTAGTTTTTAGCGTAGTAATAGTTTAAGCAACAATGAATTGTAAATAATTTTATATCAATTGTAAATCATTAGTAATTCAGCCATTTTTTGGCTTCGTGAAGTGAAAAGTGACGTTGTAGTTTTTAGCGTAGTAATATATTAAGCAACAATGAACTGTAAATAATGAACTTAGTATTTTATTTCAAATTATTTGTAAATCATTTGTAATTCAGCCTTTTCTGGCCGCGATATTTGATTCATTAAACTATCTAACTATCTATCTACTTTTACCGTAAGTATTCTGTAATTGTAAGTAACAGTATAATGGACTGTATTGAAAAAGAAATCTGTTATTTGGCATGCTTTTGACCGTCATCTTTTACAGTAAGTATTCTGCAATTGTAAATGATGGTAAAATTGACTGTGTTCAAAAAGAAATCCGTTTTATTTGAAATGTGTTTGATCGTAAATTTTAACAGTAAGTACACTGAAATTTCAAATTACAGTGCAATAGACTATGTTTAAAAAGAAATATGTTACAACCTTTTTACGGCTAAAAAACAGTCTGCGCAAAATTACAGTACATTCTCTGGTGTAAAATTACTTTACAATTACTTTTACTGTTAAATTACGGGATTTTTTTACAGTGTACTGGTCCACCCTTGTTGACACATTGTACATCTTGTAAATGTAGCCCAATAAGATGAAAAGCTAATATTAGGGTAAGGAATACGGTCACGAATAGATCCAGGATGGGATTAGGATGTTTATGTTTGTTTGTTTAATACCACTCAGCCAATCCTTACAGAGAGTGACGAAGAAAAGAGAAGAGAAACAACAAACCAATTAATACAACGTAGTCCAGAGAATATGTGGCTTCATCGTTTTCCACCATCTACAGTAATTTCCACCGGCATGCAATTTTAGAGTAATTTCGAAAAACTATTGTACCTGTTTTTGTCTTGGAGATAATGTTCACCTGCTAGTGTAAGGAAAACGTTAAATTAGTAAAAGCTTAGGTTACACGTGGGATTTTTTCTTTGGAGATGGCAATTGAACGGGGCTGCTGGGGCAAGAGAAAAATCGCACGTGTATCATTTCGTGCACTGCAACGCAATCTCGCAAATTGGGGGAAGCGGATGACCATTGATATCTTAGGAAGGACGGAGGGTGGCAGGGCACGAAGTGAAAATGAGGGAAAATGGAAAATTCCTGCAACTACATTGAATATATACAGAAATATACATAAAAATTGATGCATAGCTTCCCCACCGCGTAAAAGATCAATAAAGCTCCGACTTAACAAAAATTTCTTGAAACGGAAATTTCCCTAGCCCACAATGGCCGTTTTTATACTAGAGACGCATAATGCGTCTGGACGAACTTGGGCAAGCATTTGTTGTTCGTTTGGTTATGCGTCCTCAGTATAAAGACGTTCGTTTGGTTATGCGTCCTCAGTATAAAGACGGGCACAAGACGCATTATGCGTCTAGACGAACTATGTTCGATTCTTCGTCTTAAGAGACGCACAACCGATGATAGTTCGTCTAGACGCATAATGCGTCTTGTCCCGTCTTTATACTGTCTTTATACTTTGCCCATGCAGACGAACAACAAATGCTGATAGTTCGTCGCATTATTCGTCCCGTCTTTACACTAGACGAATAATATAGAAGACGGATTATGCGTCCAGACGCATAATCCATCTCTAGTATAAAAACGGCCAATATCTTATTATCCGCCACTGACCTGAATTCACAATCCACAATGGAAGAAATTCACGTAGTGGTCTCTGGTAACAAGATGGCGGTATCTAATAGAAGGCAGCGAAGCGATGTTCTTAAAATATTTGCATGATAAAATTATGACATTTTGCGCGATTCTCAAGTACTTTCTCAAGTACAAATTTGGTGTTTTCAAGGACTTTTCAAGTGCCCTTGAAATTCTTTTTCATTTTAAGCACTTTTCAAGGAGTTGTACGTGCCATTTGGAGAGGATGAGCACAGAATCTAAAATCCGAAGCGCGTAAGAGGTGAAAGGCGCTTGCTCTAGATACCATTATGATGCACCACTCAAGCACAGCATAGACTCTAAACTCAAAATAATTCTGGCCTTGAAACCGGTCCGTCTCTCTGTCTGTCTTACATACATTTTGTAATCCAGACACAATCTAATGCGCAATTGAAACAATGAATTAGCTCATAAAACTACCAGACTTTACCGTCAACATTTGTGATGATAATCGTTGCTAATATCAGTATAGTACCACCGCCATTATTAAAACAAACGACCCGCATCGTGATTTGTGCGCGGCACAACCTCGTAAATGATCAATTGATGGTTGCAATTTTTGCCCTGCTCAAAATTTCTAGTTGACAAGTTGCTCACAACAGAATTATATTTCAACTGATCTAACGGTAATACTTCCGCGTAATAAAACGACTTCCTTGATAAAAGAGTTACATTCGACGAAAGCGCCCAAGCATATATAATGACAATAGACAAATCATTATAGTGATAATTATTGAACTAACGGAATTCAAAGACTAGTCAAGACTTCCCGCACTGTGACACTTCCTTGTATTCTCTGCTTGAGGAAGGAGTCAAAGTTTCAAATACGAAAAGCAAAGCTCAACCTTTAGCCTACCTTCACACCGGATCGAACGACTTTGAAACTGTACATAGATTCAAGGCTCCAATTAATCACATGAGGAATTCGCATCCGGTCCTTTGTGAACGGAACCTAAAAAATTATCATTATTGCATTGGAAAAACATTTGACTGAAAAACTTTAGAAGAAAAATATTACCAAAATCCCTCAAAACCTACAGTAAAATTATACTCAAATTTATGAGTAAATTTACTCATTTTCCTCAGTAAAGCAAATGTTTACTCCACAAATCGAGTGATTTTGAGTCGCTGTGAGTGCATTATTTAATTAATAATAAAAGTTTTAAAACTTTATCAAAATTTTTCTGGCTGCTTTACAGTGAAGAATATTTTAACTGGCATTGCGGCAAAGTTATTTCGTGAATTGTCACTTTTATGTCTGCCGTCATATGTAACTAAACTTCGATATCTTCCATTGGATGTCTCATATCCGCAGCGCGTTTACTGTATAAGCAAGACTCACGACACGTTTTTGCAATATTTTGGGTGGGGGAAAGCCTGTTTTTCACTTCAAGCGTACCGTACCGAAGCTTATCAATAACATTTTTAAATTTCAAAATTTACTAATGAATGTTAATACTTCCGTAATACACCAAATACAGACAAACGTTTCATTTTGATACGCGAATACATCCGGAAGTACGTGGTTTATTAACCTCTTTTCAACCTGTGCATGCTCACCAGTACGTTTCGGTACGGTACGGTTGAAGTGGAAAACTGGCTTAAGTTCCCCCCAAGCCAGTTATTACTGAACTTATTAACTTTAACAGAATTTATTAAATATAAATTTTACACATGTGTTAAGCATGGGCGTACCGGAAGGAAAAAATTAGGGGGGGGGGGAAATTTGCCCGACTTTTCGGGATTGTGCCCGACTTGTACCTAAAAAAATTTTTCCGGAAAAATTATTTCGGCGACCTCCCAACCCCCTCCCCCTCCCCCCCCCTCGCAAAAAAAATTTCGGTCAGTGTACCATTTTAGGGGTCAAAAAAATTTTCCGGACATACCAAAATTTTTCGGAACATCACACAAATTTTCAAAAAAACACACAATTGACACAAAACTGACTGAATTTTCACTAAATTGACAGAATTTGTCCCATTTATTTTTATTACAAACCAAAATTGCCCGACTGTTGATCGAATATTGCCCGACTGCCCAAAAAACTGGGGGGGCTGCCGCCCCCCCCGCCCCCCCGCCCGGTACGCCTATG